TTTTTTTTATATAATATTCTAATTCTAATTTCATAAAATCTAAATTGTTTAATTAATATCTGTTTTTCAAAGTTCGTTAAGTCAAGAGGAAATTCATCTATTTCTAAATATTCTAAGAGATTTTGTAGTGGTCTAAATTCATTTCTTTAGGATTATAGGAGGATATGTCTGCATCTTTAATCTAGGAAATGCATCAACATTGGAATGTTTTTGTCCTTGTTTGTGAATTACAGTAAAGAGATAAGGTTGTAATTTTGTTATTCATCTTCCCAATTGTCCTTTAGGTTGAGAAGATTTTAACTATTGAAGGGCTGAATAGTCAGTAACTACAACCTCAAACTCTAAATACATTAAATAAATTCCTAACAATTTGGAATTAAGACCTCCTCACAACAAATCATAGTCTAGTTCTAACTGGAAATCAAGTTTCTATAATGAATGAAACTAATATTTTCTTAACTATTACAATGCTAATAGAAATATAAACTTTAGCTCAGATAACAGAAATGAACTAGAGATATTTAAAAATCTTTTTCCTAGTGTAAATCTAAACGAACTCCTAGAAACAGAAGAAACAACTATGCTTTTGCAGTAGGAAGATATGAATAAAGAAACTACTAATAAATTGCTCTCTCAAGAATCTGAACATTTAATATTTTCTAATGATATACTCACTAAACTTATCGATAACTTGACTACAGAAAAAGATAAAGTTTTTACTAGAATAGATCCTTTAACAAAAACTATTTATGAAGAAAAACTTCAAGAAATAATCTCTTAATTAAAAGAAGAAAATAGAGGAAAACAATGAAAGCAACTTATTAGAACTCTCGAAATATACTACTATCTAGAATAACTATGAGAAAGTATAATAGAAAATTGAAAAAGGACAAAGTATACTCAAAGTACTTTACAGAAATCTTTAGGATCTTGATGAGCAAATAAGATATAGAAATGTACAGAATGAATTTATTAAATTTTTCAGATATAAAAATTAGACTGACTTTACTACACTGCTAGTATTACATTTAGTAACTTGAATGAGTTAAGTGATAAAGATTTTATAAATCTTTTAGACACAGTTAGAATTCACAGTACTTATTTTTAAAGGAGATAGAAATATTATAAAATGAGTTTTATCTATTTTATTATATGATTATTTATAATTTATTATTAGTATTTTATATAGTTAAATTCTTGGATGTATTTTATTTAATATCGATTTTTTGATAAACCAAATAGTTAAAGTTAGTTTTAAATTAGACTATTAGATTTAGCTCAACGAGATTTTTCTAACAAGCTATAAATTATGTGAAATAGATATATAGTTATTGAGTTATCTTAGAACCAATATTAGGACAAATTACCTTTTCTACCTTTTCTACCTTTTCTAAAAAGATATATAAACCCTTCCTTTTCCCTTTGCCTCAACTTAGGTTTTTACCTCTGCAATTTCCTTAATATTAGAATTCTCTTAGCACAGAAACTAATAGATAGTCTTGTATTATCGATATTGTATTTTAAATAAAGTATAATCTTTGCTCTTTCATTAACTTTGTAATGAACTGCTACAGTGAAGTAATATTCTACTTAGACACCATTGAGAGCCTCTCTTCCATATCTTATATTACTTGTATTGAATCAAGAAGGCTAACACTTGTAACAGTAGTATCATTAGTTAGTTTATAGTTATTATTAGTAAGTTTATATTTAATTACAAACTAGCATTTTGAACAAATATATTATTAAAGATTTGATGTTAGAAATAGTAGAATGTTTTTAGAACTTTTGTAAGAGAATTCTAGTTTTTTTGTTGTTAATATTTGCTATATAAGTTGTAAAGTTAAAGAGAGAAGTATTATATTTTTTGTTAGTTGCAGAAGTAAAGTTAGTATAGTAAAGACTGTATAAGTATTAAACAGTTATAGAAGTTTTAAGAGCAGTACAAAATAAGTAATTTTTGCATTGCTTTGAAGAATTTTAGTAAAACAAGTAATCAGTTTGCTTTTAGAAAAAATTAGTAAAATGTTTTTCAGATTCTCTTTATAGAAAGCTACTTCAAAACTGTTAGAATATTTCTTGTAGAAGTAGTTCAAGTTAAAGATATCTGGCTTTTTACTTGTTAAAGTAGACATTGTTAAAAAATATTTTAATTAAATAAAAAATAAGTAATTTGGAGATGTGGAAATAAAAAAACTAAAATTAGATAATTAGATGAAGATATAAAAAGTATTAGATATGAGAGTATAATAAATAAAATATATTACTAGATAATAATTAAAGAGTATAATAAATATTATTTTATCACAGATATAATATGATAATTGGAAATATATCACAAATATAATATAATATAATTGTATTCTGTATTTAATCAAAAATAAATTGTATTTAATTTATAAATAGAATTTTGTATGTAGCTAATTTAGAAAATTGTATTTATTTAATTTGTAATTTTTTAAAGTTATGTTTGATTAAAATTAGCTTAATCTGAGTTTTTAATATAGATCAATATAAGGTTTGAATTTTACAAATTTGGAAATTAGTTAGATTATCAAAAATAATAATTTAAGATAAAGTAGAAATTTTTTGTTAGGCATTTTTAAGGAAATTTTTTCTGTTTTAAGTACTAGAGAGCTTAGTTTTATAAATATTGATTTAAGTAAACATAGCTTGTTATAACTAGAAAGATTAGACTAACAACTTTGCTTAAGAACTCAAAAGAGATTTAGAAGATAGTTTTTGAATAAGTCTCAAAAGTTTAAAGCTATTTTTTAATTTTATATTTATGATAGTAATTTGCTAGAAGAGGATCTAATATTTTTGAAACTAGGCTATCTAGATATAAAATCTAGTATTGAGTAGATTTACTTAAGAGCATTTACTCAGTTTATTTAATAAAAGATAAAGAAAGTTAATTTTTGTAAAAAGAATTTTAGTAGATTTTAGTACAAGTGATATATAGATTAAATTCTTTTTTTTTTAAATTTAATAAACTCTTTGTTAAAATATTTTTAATCAAAGTTATAAAAATATTTGTGTTTTGTCAATAATTGATGATCATATGATCATATTATATTTTTAATAGATATACAATATACTCAAAATTTGATTATATTGATACATTTTTAGTAAAATATTTTTGAACTTTTATATCTTAATAACTATTTGATCAAATTTGAGAAATTTTTTTTTATTCTATGGATTTATGAAATTTAAATAAAAAAAAAATTTATAGATTTTGATTGAAATATCTTTATTCAAAGTTAGTAAACAAATTCAAAATATCTATTAAAATAAGTATACTAAATTTTTTTTAAAACTTTGAGCAAAGATATTTCAATAACTACTTGACCAAATATAATAGTTTTTTTTGTTTCAATTCTACAAATATATAGAATTCAAATAAAAAAAAATTTATTGATTTTGGTTAGATGGTTGTTGAAATATTCTCACTCAAAGTTTTATAAAAATTTTGTATGAATTGATATTTTGAATTTGTTTACTAACTTTGAGTAAAAATATCTCAACAACTACCTAATCAAAATTGATGAATTTTTTTATTATTTAACTTCTATATATTAGTAGAATAAAAACAAAAAAAAAATCATTGAATTTGGTTAAGTAGTTATTAAGATATCTTTATTCGAATTTGGTCAAGTAGTTATTGAGTTTTTTTTTTTTTTATAAATATATATATTTATTTGCATAAAGTTTAAAAATATTTTACTAAAAGTAAATTAAAAATGTAATCAAATTTTAGTACAAAGGTTCAGTGACCTAGTATAGTAGTTAAATTGTCAAACTGCTATGTAATAGGTTTGAAATTCAAATTCTACTATCAATGAATTTGAATAATACCTAGATCTATATACTCAACTTACAGAAAACTCTGCCTTTCCTAAAAAGGAAGTCCTGGGGATGTGACAAAACCCTATAAAAAATAATATTGTACTAAGTCAATAGGATATTAGAAGTATTATAGTAATTTTATATAAATAAATTTGTATTAGATATATAGGCAGGAGACCTGTATAGTAGAAACTCTGAGTTAGTAAAGTAATACAGCTTTAGACACTAATGCTTGATCTGAAAAGAGACTCTTTCAAAGAATATAGATTGGAATAGATATGAGTAAATCTGTTTTATAAATAGTTTAACAGCACCAACTTGATTTGACAGTTAACTATATTTAGAAGAATCTATTTTATAAAATATCTAGAGAAATTTGACAACACATACTAGTAGAGAGCTACAGTAAGAACTGAGATCATATGAATATTGTAAAGGTCTAAGCTAAGTGAATTTGTAAAATAGATACAGACTACTTTAGTAGATATGCTTTGAGATTAACTAGCTTTGCAGTACTCACAATAAGTTGAACACAATGTAACCTGAGAAGACCTAAACTGTATTAGTAAATAGATCTGTAACAAGCTAGTTAACTTAAACAGTTAAATGTAACAGTGATATTAGTTTGTAATGATATGAATTAGTTAAACAGAGTGTTTAAATAGATAACTTATAGATAGGTTATAAATATGGTAGCATAGTGTAGAACTAATCAAGTAGTCTAATACCTATGTAGCAAACTACTTAAAATAGACAATGACTAAAGTTGTATGTGTGGCTTGTTGTACACTCTTCATGTAATTACAAACTGTAAAAAATTACCCATGTGTGACCCCATATATCAAACTAATAAAATCCGCTCGGTAATGTAAACCACCTTAATAACAAAAAAAAAAAAAAAAAAATTTGAGTACATTGTAGATCTATCAAAAATGTAACCGCAGATCTATCAAAAATAAAACTTTTGTGTCCGCGCTTGATTAGTACGTATATCGTTCAGGTGACTGCGAAATTACGAATTTATTCCATTTTGTTAGTCACACAAATGACATTTTACGTAACAATTACTGTATCTGGTATTGATTTTATACGTAATAAGAGTCGCAATTGATTTACATACTGTATTAACTTTTATTCTCGTTCTTAACATGCGTATCATCAATCAGACACAACTTGATCAAACTACTTCTCAAAGCTCCATAATCGAACCCCTAAAACTTGAGCTATTGAAATGTCAAAAAGAAAATGATGAGTTAATTAGCCGAAATCAGATTCTACAAAATGATAACTCAAGATTAATTTATATAAATAGTGTTTTACAAGATGAAGTCACGAAATTAAGAAAGGAATGTGGGAGTACACATCAAAAAAGTGAAATGCATAATGTATGGTGTAATTCATGTGCATTTCCAATCAAAGGTGTTAGGTATAAGGTAAAATGATTATTATTAATTCGTCTTTTAAATTCAATAATTATGATATTTATTTATTTGTATATATTTCACTACCTTAAATAATATGTATATTCAAAAATTAACCTACAAAATTTGTCGTTTCAGTGCGGAAATTGCCAGAAGTATGACCTATGCGATGCATGTATCGATTCGAATCATGATGCTACCCATGTATTCATCAAGATTAAGCAGCCATTGGACCTTTCTTCTTATGACGCCCCTTTATTACCACAATTTAAGATAAGTGATTCTCATACTTTAAGTAAGTTTTTTGAAATCTAAAATTTAATATATATAAACTCAAATCTTAAAATATTGAAAACGCCTATGCATTAACTATATCGTAAAAGTTTTTTAAAATATTCCATACCAATCTAGTATTATATTTGTTCTTTAAAGTTTTATAATAATGGTTTAACAAATTATTCTTTTTACTGCAATTTCATTATGGTTACAACAAATTTGTACATAAGACATACACTTTGGAGTTTCCTGTGATGGCTGTTCCAGAAATCCCATACGTGGTATTAGGTACAAGGTAGATATTAAAAGTTATTGTCATCATTGAATAAGGCAATTATTATTCGGATGCAATAACTATTTCCTCTAAATTTAAGCAAAAACTTTTTTAAAAATACGAATTATCTCATGTAGTGTGGACATTGCGAAAATATTGATCTCTGCAGTCACTGTGAATCCAATTACGATCACGATCCTTCCCATATTTTTATTAAATATACACGACCAATCCCAATCTCAACAAATGATTACACTACACCTTTTTTACCACATTTCTGTGAGACTTATCAAGAAAGCAGGAATTCTGGGTATTTAATTGATTTTAATTAAAACTTTGTGATAATTTAACTAATCAATTACTTATTCATGAAATCACCAGAGAGTGCGTATTTAATAAAATCAAGGCTTAATTAACGTTATTTGACTTTTTTTATTTTATTGATCATATATGCACTAAATTATCAGGGAGTAAGTATCTAATTATGTAAATGAAAGTTATGTGATCATTAAGTGAGCTTTCCTAATCACTATGAATCTATTGATTTTTAGTTTGTATGCATTGAATTTATAATCATGATATTGTTTTAATTATGTTTCTCTACTTATTTCGAATTAATTACATAATATGTCAAATTGCCAGAGAGTATGTGAAATTTCTACCATTTTTAAAATTAAAATTTCGCTGTAAATTCATACTAATTATAAATCAATTAAATTATTAGGAAGTTAGTATTAAGTTTATAGATAATCTAAAGCAGAATTAATATATTGTTGTCAATTAATTATTAGGCTGTGAGTACTTAATTTTATAATATTTAATATTTGCTATCAATTATTAATCAATTTCATATTATTAAATTCTAGGGCGTGAGTATTTAAATTTAATTTTCCAGTCAAATTTGTGGGTTTGCTAAATGAAAATTTAAAAAATTTCATATGTACTAAATTACTAGTGAGTGAGTATCTAGTTTTATTATCATTCTTAAAATCATGCTTTAAATAAATTTCTATTAAATTTCTAGAAAGTAAGCATTAAATTCAAGTCTTTTATGATAATTGATAAATAATTAACGTTTAAATATAAACTATAACTAATTATTAGGCTGTGAGTTATATTTAAACTCATTGCATATTTCAAACTTTTTAAGAATTTCATTAAGTAATATTTTCCAATAACTCTGATCAATTCTTACTATTACTAGAATGTGAGTATTTGATTCAAATTCATTTAA